TACAGCTGAGGGCACAGAATGGGGACATCTCCGCTCCTCTCCATTGCCATCCCTTCATCCAGCTCCACCATGGTGTGAAAGCATCCAAAAGGACCTTTTAATTTTCCTTTCCCTATCCAGGGGCCTGCCCATCTGAGGAACAGAGATTGAAGCTGTTCTACTGATGAAATATCTTATTTTAGTACATCCTGGAGCAGTGCTTGGCTGCTCCTCTTCTGGGGTCATGAGTGGTCCCCCTTGGCTGCTCCTCACCTTCCTTTCAGCCCATCCATAGGACATCCATAAGAGAGGCTGGGAGGCAGGTGAGGAATAGCCTCCCAAGCATGTGAGTGGGGATAGGGATAGGGATAGGGATAAGGATAGGGATAGGGATAGGGATAGGGATAGGGATAGGGATAGGGATAGGGATAGGGATAGGGATAGGGATAGGGATAGGGATAGGGATAGGGAGGGATAGGGATAGGGATAGGGATAGGGATAGGGATAGGGATAGGGATAGGGATAGGGATAGGGATAGGGATAGGGATAGGGATAGGGACGGGGATGGGGATGGGGATGGAACCAAGGAGGAAGCTCTAATACAGGCATTGGAGCATCTCTCTCCATCAGAAACACAGCTCACAGGAAACTACATAGGGGAAAATAAAAACCAACCATTTCATATGGTTAGCAAAGAGCTGGGGATGCTCTGGCTGGGCCCCTTGCTTTACTTCTAACATGGCCAGTGAATGCTTCCTCAATGCTTATCAAAAACGCTTTGAGATCCTTCTCTGAAGGTCAGTACAGTGATAGTGAAAAATCCTTCAGGCTCCCAGGACTTCTTGGCCCCTTCTGAGGACATTCCAGCAATAAAGCACATGAGTTTGCATCAGAATGATGCAGAGCTCTTAGTGCTGAGAAATCAAAGCAAGAACAGCTCCAAAACATGTTCTGCACACTGCAGTGTGTCAGCCACAGCTCTCGCCCTCTGGCTGGGGTGAAAGTTTGGGTGAAATGAGGAGGCAATCAATAGCAGGTGGTTCTTCACCCAGCATGTACCAAGAAGGGCAAAATTAAATTTAAAAAAAATGCAAGAAGAATATTCAGTTGCTGCTTCAGAATCATTTCCTGGACTGCACTGACATTTCTACACAGCTTTGCAGAAACAGCTTCTCAGAGGATTTTACAGAACGACATATGCCTTTAGCAGAATCCATAGGTCCCTTCTGCTGTGAGATGCAGGTTTGCAAGCATGCTGCTTTCCTTGGAAATGGAACAGGTCTCTCCAAGGACAGGATAAAACTACTTGCATCTCAATGAAATAAACAGGCTGTGCTTCGACAGTGTTATCTTATGTGTTTGACCAGGTGCATCACAAATTAATAGAATACAAAAGCTCCCAGAAGGAAACAGATTAATAAGACACATAGGTTAAACACCAGGCTTATCTGAGGGCCTTCCTGTGCAGCTGGGGAAGTCACCAAGGAGACCATATCTTAAAATAACAGCTCCACAGCCATTTTTTCAGAAACTTTGAAAATATCCTGACTCACAGTCCTGCAGTAATTGTTCTCTTTGCTGTAACTAATTTTGAGTAAGTTTGCCTTTCAAAATCAAAGGAGGCCATTATACTATTTTGTTACATCTCCCAGGAGGCTGAAATCCTTAAAACTGTGTTAGTTGATCATTCATCAAACCCTGTTTTACAGTATTTCCTGGGATTAATATTTATTATCAATATTTGAGTGTTTGTACAATTTCCCATTTTATTAAGTCTGAAGCAAGAGACGCGAGTAATACCAGATAGGGTAGGAATGACTGAATCCTGACACAGAGGCTGTGCTGTTCCTATCCCAAAAGCCCATTCAGTTCTGCCTGGACAGACTGAACACATCCCACCTGGTTTTCACACACACAGCTCTTTCATCCCCTATTTCTGACATGCTTTAAAACTCTTTATCTTTTTGGTGATCAGCACTCCTGAACTGGAAATATTTTTCTGAAAAGATGCTGAGGAGCCATGGGAGCCTGTATGTGTCCCAACAGCTTAAGTTGCAGCACAGAAGGTTTTGGTTGGACATTAAGAAGACTTTCTTCACAGAAAAGTGATTAGATATTGGAACGGAGGTGATGGAGTCACGGTCCCTTCAGATGTTTAAGACTGTATGTGGCACTCAGTGCCATGGTCTAGTCGATATGGTGCTGTTTGGTCACAGGTTGGACTCGATGAGCTCAGCAGTCTTTTCCACCCGTACTGGTTCTGTGATCGAATTCCTTCCGGAACCGCGGGCCCCTCCAGCCCGGTGTCATTCCAGCCCCCCCCTCCGCCCAGCTCCCACTGCCGCCTGGCCACGCCCACAATGACATCATAGGCAAGAGCCCCACCCTTTACTTTGACTCCGCCTCCTGGTGGGCGTGGTCCGAGCCCAAGCTCCGCCTCTCGCCCTCGTGGCGCGGGGCGGGGCGTGCGGCGCCTGCGCAGAGCGCGGAGCTGCAGTCGAGGCGCGGGCGCGGAGCCGGTGGCGGAGCCCCGGGACGGTGCGAGGGCCCTGCCGCCCTCGGGGCGAACCGGGCATGAAG